TTGACTATCTCTGATTCGATGACGAGGAACCCACTTTGAGACTAATAATGCTTGGAGACGGCTTGCCATCATCAAAACCTTGTCGAAACGTTATACATTTGTTGTAATGTTAAAGTTTTTCTTCATTAGCCATACAAGCCGTCTCAAAACATTATATGACTATGTATGACCTGCTAGTCACATATTGTCAAGAATTTTCCCCTTTAGTGATTCTGAATCTTCCCGCGGGCGATGTCGCTGGAGAATTACTTTACACTTGAGCTAATGGGGTCTCTGGTCGCATCAGCCGGGTCCAGAAATATCTGAAGCGATATCTTCCCTATCTTTATTAATGACCAGGTGATGTTGGTGAGAAAATGGACTTTGGAATACTTGACCAAACATGTATTCAGTAGTTGATTCTCTCAGTCTTCTTTAACAAAGATTTTTCTCACATTTTAAGAGACAGACGTCAGACTTTCATTGAATTGTTTTGTTTGATTTGTCAAATACACAAATAAAGTGTTTTGTCTCGTCGTGAAACTTGTGTCTAATATCTTTCTTCCAATCTCCCAATGGATCAGCTGTAAGTTTACAGACTTACAACGCTAAATTCCGGGGTTAAATTTCCCGTGGTGGAAAAAGCACAGATAGCCCATTATGTAGCTAAAAAAAAACAAAAAAAAACAGCTTTCTTCAATTAAAATAATCAGAATTAAATTAACTCTGCTCAATTTCTTCTTAGAGAGTGGTTGTTACTCCTATCTGTAGGAAATAAAAATACTTGAGAATTCCACAATAATTTAATAAATTATACGACTAATGTATAAATAAACAAACAGACACGAAAACATAACTCAACAATTTTTCACAATTAATTTCTGATATAGACAACGTTCTACTTTCATATCAATTAACCTTGAGGGTGTTTTTGATAGTGCAAGTCGCCTAATACTATCCAAGGCCGTATCTTGCACTATTCGGGGAGGGATAAAAAACACGAGTCATTCACTGGAAAATGGTACTAGGTACACACAGATGGCGCTGTGGTTCTACGCCTTGGGAAACATGGATGGCAGTAACAAAGTATTGAACAATGAGGGTTAACACCACTTGAATTATTAGATTATGATTGGTTTCTTGAACATCATGTCATTGAGACAGTTTTCTATCATCACATTACAGATAAACCTGGAACATACTGATAAAAAAAGTGCGTGAGGTTAATTTGTTTATCTACTGTTTTTTTTGTATATCATACAATATTCGTGATGATAGTGCACACCAAGTTAACATCAGATGTTTAGAATAGTATACATAATACTCATTTCTTTCAACCGCAAAGAGCAAACTATTTCTAGGCAACATTTTGTAGGCATCATTTTATTCGTCGACGACACTATTTCTAGGCAACATTCTGTAGGCATCATTTTATTCCTCGACGACACTATTTCTAGGCAACATTCTGTAGGCATCATTTTATTCCTCGACGACACTATTTCTAGGCAACATTCTGTAGGCATCATTTTATTCCTCGACGTCTGTAGATTTATGTCAAGAATGTTTGTGAAGTATACAAATATCTTTTTGCTCGAATCATCCAAGAATTTATTTTAATGCGTCTAAATGTTTGGAAATGTCCGTAACTTGAAGTGTATATAAAACTTATGGATGTCTGTTAATTATTAACTGTTAACTAGTTACTGGTTATCTATCATTAACGCTGGAATACTAGGTTCCATTTTACATTCTCAACTTGTTTTGTTATTTTCTTTACCATGTACCCCAGAGGTAAGTTTACGGACTTACAAAGAAAAAAACTTCACGTTCGATTCTCTGCAGTGTCCACTGTAGATAGCCCAATGTGGCTTTACTCTAAAACAGTGGTTCCCAACCTTTTGTAGCCATCTCACACCTCCCCTAAAAAGTGTGCATTACACATTTCCTCTTGGTGACATTTGGGGGAAAACGGACCCAGTACAGGACTCTTCCGCACACTCACTGGTTCACACACCCCTGGTTGGGAACCCCTGCTCTAAAACAAAACACTGAAATATTCTTTGACATGTGCATAGGCGGCAGATAATAATTAAATTTGGATGTGGGGGCAACGACGAGTGGGATACCTTATTTGCTATGTCAATGAATGTTATGAATTTAATTTGAAACATCGACTTGCGACGATAGCTCGCAATCTGAGGGTCGCGGGTTCGAATCCCCCGTCCCACTAAACATGCTCGCCCTTTCAGTCGTGGTGGCGTTATAACGTGACGATCAATCCCACTATTCGTTGGTAAAAGAGTAGCCCAAGAGTTGGCGGTGGGTGGTGATGATTAGCTGCCTTCCTTCTAGTATTACACTGCTAAATTAGGGACGGCTAGCGCAGATAGCCCTCGTGTAGCTTTGCGAGAAATGCAAAACAAACAAAGAAATCGATGCTAGTTCTACACAAGTCTCTATTCACCATTCAATGGGGCACTTCGCCACCTATGGACATACGAAAAACCCTTGAGCGGATGTGATAACAGCTTTTGATATGAAAACAAACTTGTTTATCTTTCTGCTCAAATTTTCTTACCTAGTGTTTTTCAAAAACAGTAAACACCGATTAAAATACTTGTACAGCTCGCAGATAGGCCTAAAGTGGATTTTATCAAAATATTTCGGAACATACGCGATACAGTTATTTAATAGAATGAAATGTCTACTAATCCGAATGTGCGCTGGCACTCTATGTGTTAGGATGGCACAGACGCCCACTTAAAGCAATACGGAGAGTGCGCTGGCACTCTATGTGTTAGGATGGCACGGACGCCCGCTTAAAGCAATACGGAGAGTGCGCTGGCACTCTATGTGTTAGGATGGCACGGACGCCCACTTAAAGCAATAAGGAGAGTGCGCTGGCACTCTATGTGTTAGGATGGCACGGACGCCCACTTAAAGCAATAAGGAGAGTACACTAGCTCTCTATATGTTAGGATGGCACGAACGCCCGCTTAAAGCAATACGGAGAGTACACTAGCTCTCTATATGTTAGGATGGCACGGACGCCCGCTTAAAGCAATACGGAGAGTGCGCTGGCACTCTACATATTAGGATGACACGGACGGCCGCTTAAAGCAATGCAAAAGTCGTCTAGATTTTCATCTCTACAGGTCATTAGAAGCTAGATATGAAGAGCTACCTAGTATAGTCGCTCTATCTCCGGTGTATATGCCGCTTTTCAGCTATCCAGAGCGTCCCAAGTCAAGATCCGGCAAATAGCCAAAACCGAGATTTCATATTTTCGTTCACCATCATCTTTCTTCAACAGGCCTAACAGTTCTAGCAGTAACTATAATTTTATCATTATTTGCTAGAGTAAAACAGTCTTCACGATCTTTGACTACCTATTGTATTATAATTATATGCAAAACTTATAAAGCTTCAGAATACACTATATAACCTAGTAACCCACGTACACCATCTTCCTAAAAACAGTAATCAAACAAATATTAAGGACAAATTTTATCGGTAAGAACTTGAAAAACAAAAAACTAAACAAGATAGGGATATAAGTGGACATATCACTTGATCCGGATAATGATCACATAGCAGACTAAGCTGTCTCGACTATACATAGAGAATAAAATCCTTACATTACTGGCTTCCTCACTGGCAAAACAAATAGAACCAGCATTTCCAATCGTAAAATGTTACTCTATTGTAAAACAGTCATAAAAATACTATTCTAAGGTTAACTAAATGTTAGGTATAAAATGATAAAAGCTGTTATAATGTGTGTGTGTGTGTGTGTGTACAATTTTATCTTAAACTGATACATGACAATAATTATAAGTCGATTATGTTGAGTAAAACTCAAACAAAATGTCTGAACATTTGAAAATAATATGCCTTAGTAAACTTGTGTGCTTATTTATGTACATTCCTATAGAGCAAGCACGAGAGGTTTGTTCAATATATACCTAATAATTTGATATTTCCACAAGATATAAGAATTAATGTTGAATATTTTAAGCTATATTTTCAATGATTTAATTTACATGTTTGTTAGAGAGCACATAATGTTCATAAAAGTTAATAATCGAGACGTTTCATGGAGCATGTACGATATAAATAGGAGTGATCTGTGAGTGAAGTATTCAGTGAGCAGTTAATGAGTTAGTGATTATTGAATGAGTGATTTAGTTCAATGTTAGTAGTGAGAGTTATCATGTCTGTTCGGTTACTCAATCGATTAGCGAAGAAATTTTGCAAGTAAATTTATTTGTGAGTTAGACATACCATTAACCTCGGAATATTTATTTTGTTATTTTTAAAATACTATTAATGCAGAATTTTAACTTCAAACTCTTTTTGGTTCAGTAAATGCACATTTTTAACGGTCATTTGTGTGATAATACTTCGCAATAAGTCTGCTAATAATTTTTAACAACTCTTTCCAACAAAGCAATAGAAAAAGCAAAAATATGTCTAATATTCAACAACCTCAACAATCATTGAATTGCTCTATCAAAAAATTATATTACTTTACATACAGTGCACACATTCTGTTTAACTTTTGATATAATATACGTATATATACCGTTCTTTAACATTTTTAAACATGTGCGTTAAATATTTTATATTAGTTGATTTTATGAAAAAAATTAACGCCTATTTTTAAGAATTGAGCTCTTTTTATCATTATTGTGGAATGTTCCCACGTGTTTATTTCATACGCTATATAAGAGTCACGAGGCAATCACACCACCTTTCCTCCGCCTTCTATGACGTAATTACTAGATTACGTTCTTGTGTTATGTATTACGTTTTCTTTCTGGTGTTGTGCAATGGCCCACAGTAAATATTATTATTATTTTGAAATAATATCTAGTTGAAACGTTTTACAAAAGTTATTAATGACTATATATGATTTTTCTATATGGTAACTTTCATTTTCCGTTATATTTCGGTTAGCTTTAACGTCGTTTTCTGGCAGTAGTCCACGTTCAACCTCCTAGCAACCATATGATGTCAGAAATCCTAGCCAATCATTAACAAGCGAAGTGTCACCAGAATGTGGAATTCCACAGCACGTGTTTGCTTATAAATAACGTTCGAGATAATTGAAAGTGTAAGCCTATTATTGAATTTAACCGTCGAGGCACAAGTTGAGAGGTAGTGCGGCTTGAAAGTTTAAATTATGATTATCGAGGTTCATAATAATGTTAAAATGTTAAACAACGGAGAAGAATATAATCATTTGTCTTCATCACTAAGTCGCAAACGAGTTGACAGCAACGGTTCTAGAAGTAAAAGAGTGTTGTTACTTTCAGCCCGTACTAACGAGATGGATGGTGAAGGCTACGATTCCAGCTCGTCAACAACCGGCAGCAGTAACGAGGGAGACAAAGACTTAGAAAATGGAAATTCTCTTGGTTATTACAAAGAATATTCTGACAGTGATAAAGGAAAAGACTCTGGAATAGAATGTTCACCCACTACAGATGAGGATTTTCAAGAACCTAACAAAGATATGATGAAAAATATTATAAAACAGGTTGAGTATTATTTTTCCAACGCAAGCCTTCTGAAAGATCCATTTCTGTTGAAGCACGTACGTCGAAATAAGCAGGGGTACGTAAGTTTAAAACTTATAGCTTCATTTCGAAAAGTAAAGAGTTATACCAAAAATTGGAAAGTTGTGGCTCACAGCTTAAAACAATCAGAAAAGTTAGAAATAAATGACGATGGCACCAAAGTACGAAGAAAAGAACCCTTACCTGATTACGATGAAACAGCGCCATCTAGAACCGTAGTTGCATTTAAGTTACCTTTCGAAAAGCCCTCGGTCGAAAATGTTGGAGAAATATTTTCAAAGTGTGGTGATATTACTCTAATCAGAATTATTCGACCTGATGGAGTCATTCCTGCTGATATCAAGAAATTTCTTCATAAACATCCCGAGATAGGCTCAAGTGTTTGTGCTTTGGTTGAATTCGAGAAACGCGAGAGTGTATCTCTCGCTTCAAAGGACTTCCTTTCTAAACATGTTGATTGGCGTTCTATACAAGTTATTCCTCTTGTTAAAAACGCTTCTCTAAACCTGAATAATGATAAAAATGACAAGAAAGACAAAGGAAATGGAAAGAAAAAGGATAAGCGACAGGATTACTTAAGCCAGCATAGAAAATTTGAATCATCCAAAGGCAGTAATTGCTCAGAGAAGGAACATTCGTCTTCAGGCTTAAGATACTTCTCCTTACAAAACTATAGTCAAGAATCAGTTCTTCGTCCTCATAGTTTCAGCTATAACCAGAAAGTCTCTAAGAGCCAGAGCAGTTTCCAAGAAAATGTTTGCAAGCCCTTAGCGCGAAAGAAATCTAATAGCTATTCTGATGGAGACTCGCCCAGTCCAAAATTAACTTTGGTCAGCCCATGGGTACAGCGACGTATAATGGCAGCTAAAGAAAGAGGTCACAACGGTTCTGCTCACAACTCTCGACTACTGATTCCTGATGGTGTGACTAGGCTTCCCAGGGGTCCTGATGGCACCATTGGTTTTAACTGGAGCCAAGTAAAACTTCGCACCCAGTCTGCCCCTTCTTCCATGATGACCGTTGAGTTAGGAATATGAACTGGGAAAGTATTTAATGTACATTTATAAAACATGGTACCATAAATTGTATTATATTATTTTTGTTTGTTTTTCTTGAAAGATCTGTTATCCAGTCTGTTGGATTGTTCATTGTATTATATTGTAAAAAAGTGTACATATGTTTTGTTGTTTTTTGTACAATTAATACCAAAATGTTTACATTCAGCGAAAAACGACATGTAATGTTATTTCTTATGTATATAATTGTTTTATAATGATATATATTAAAATGTCAGATTATATATCTGAATCTGTGTGTCAAATTGATTCGCCAGATAAACATTAATAATTAATTTAAAATGGATAGCTATTGTCGTAAATCAACGTACAGTTAATGTTATTTTTTCCTTCAAGTTATTTGCAGCTTTATCACCGAAATATTGTTCTCTAGTTTTTAGTTATGAAAGATACTTCTAACATTTTATTATGTTAAATTGGCAAAAGTATGATTGCAGAGTGGCCGTTTCATGGATACTAATGAACGACTAATAAGTAATCATTTCTAGCCAATAGAGGGAGATATATTGTATTTCCTATTACAGTTAGAACAGTTTATTTCTGGGACAATCGTCAAGGGCACATACCTTGGTTCAATACACATAGATGTTTCAACTGTGAGCGTGTGTGGGGTCAAACTTTACAAAAACATATTTTTTCCTACAGTTCCCTTTATTTCTATCACTCCAAATGACACTTGGTACAAATATACCTTGTAATAACCCCATAGAAAAAAGTAGACTTATTTAGGATTTGTACCTTTCTCTTAATTTGACAGTGGTCAAAGTTTAAAAAAATGCAATTGGTGTAATAGGGGTGTTATTTAAACGTCACAAGGTGTTTTATCTATTCTTTTTTAACCAAAAACTGAGTGTAAAGTCTTGCCATTATCAATAAATCTGTTCACGCAGAAATTCCCTATATGTTTTATATGCTCCTTACCATAAAGTCTCAATTTGATACAGTGTTAAGTATTTATTAGTCTGAAGTATTTATATTGTATTCTATGCCCCTTTCTCCAGCCTTGAATGCCATTTTTACTTGAAATCTTCTGTATTATGAGGATCATATCGAATGTAGTGGATGGGAAGAGACATTAGTTTACGAATGTCACTTTCTCGTTCCAATTTTTTAAAATAAAAGTGAAATTGATATGTTATGGTAGTTTTAAAAACATCCCGATTGAAGCTACACCACACATTTTGGCCTAATGAACACTTACATTTATGATATTTTGCAAATATTGGAAAAATTAACAAAAATATATGACCCTAAGGGAAATTCTCAGGTATTAAAGCATACAAAATATGTATTTTAAAATATATATATTAGAACTACATAACTTTCACACAAAATGAAATACATAAATCCGTTAGTAATATTGTTGTTTATTTGAAACATTATTTGTGGTGATGCTTGGTTAAAATTGTTGCGTCAGCGAGGTCATGTGACTAGTATCACGCCACGTCCTTCTCGAACCTTCGTGAATTGTCGAGAGATTACTAG